GTGGATTCGGAGAAAGCTGCAGCCGGAGAGGTCCCGCGAAGGCGCGGCTCTTTGGGCGGCGGTGGCAACAGGCTACTACTTCCTGCTGAAGGCTAGCGAGTACGTGTCTGGGGACCAGAACGGCTACACGAGCGGCAAAGGTCTGCGAGGGGTCGACGTTACCCCAAAGGCGGCGGGCGCGCCGTGCAGGACCTGGCCCGAAGCGAACGAGGTCGTCATCAAGATCAGGGCCAGTAAGACTGACCAGTACAATCGCGGGGGGTGGCGCAACCACTTTAGGGTGGAGGTCACGGCGGAGTCAGTGGAGGAGGGACACTTCTGTGTCGTGGATGCGCTGACGATCTACGAGGGCTGGGCGCGCGAGAGGTTCTCAGGGACGAGGATGTACGACCCGCTCTTCGCCTACGACAACGCTAAGCTCGTGACACCAGCTGATGTCCAGCGCGTGGTGATGCAGTCGGCTGTGGAGGAGGGGATAGACACTAACGACCTTGGCTCACACAGCCTGAAGATTGGCGGAGCATCCGCGCTGTACGCGGCGTTCAGGGACACGGCACCGGCGCAGCGCTGGGAACGCTGGAACAACGATGCGTTCCAGGGGTTACCTGTGGGAGGCGAGGGATACGGCGCAGGGCGTGGCCAGCAGCATGGCAGACGCGGACCTGACCATGGCCTGAGGAGGAAGGGCGTGGCAACCGCGAGGGGCCTCTGAGGCTCGAGGCGCAGGGTAGCTCACCTGGCTGTATGAGCCGAGGGCTAACGCGCAGGGGGAGCCTCGCAGGGCTGAGGAGCGGTCGCCCGTCGCGACGGAAGGAAGGCGAGAGCGACACAGGCGCACGAGTGCTGGGCAGTGGCAGGGCCCGGTCCCCCCTCCAGTGCGGACAGGTCCCTCGAGGTGGGCCCGTGGCTCGCGGCGCGTGTAGACTGGCAGCGACTGCCAGAGCACGTGGGGTGGCAGGCGGCCCGGGCAGACAGGCTGCCGGGCCGCGAGGTCGCGCCTCGGAGATCCAGGCGCCATCGGCCAGTGGAGTGAAAAAGGATGCGCCCCCTCATCATCATCTGAGGAGGAGGAGGAGAAGGAGGAGGAGGAGGAGGAGGAGAGGCGGCCTGAGAGGCAAGGCCCTTCGAGGGCCTAGTGACTCGATCCGCCGCAGGTTCGAGGCGGAGCGGAGTGAGCAAAACTTGGACGTTAGACATAACAGAGGGTGCTGCTCGGGCGCGTAGCCTCTCCGTACTCTTTGCTCAAGGCCTCAAGCGATGCCAGCTTTCTTGTCGGGGGTCCCACCCGCCCACGCCTTTTGTGGTGGGGCCTCCAGCGGCGTCTCTCTCGGCCCCACAGGGGGCACGGGAGGCCAAGGCGCGCTTGCCAGTTTGCTGGTCGGCGCGCGCCCCCCCCCCCCCCGTGGGCACAGGCGGCCCTGGCAGACAGGCTGCCGTGCCGCGGGGGGGGGCAGACAGGCTGCAGGGCCGCGAGCTCGCGCCTCGGAGATCCAGTCGCCATCGGCCAGTGGAGTGAAAAAGAATGCGCCTCCTCATCATCATCTGAAGAGGAGGAAGAGGAGGAGGACGAGGAGGAGGAGGAGGAGAGGCGGCCTGAGAGGCAAGGCCCTTCGAGAGCCTAGTGGCTCGATCCGCCGCAGGTTCGAGGCGGAGTGCAGGGAGCAAAGCCCGACTAACTTCTCATTGCTCCCCATCCTCGTCCTCCTCCTCCTCCTCCTCCTCCTCCTCCTCCTCCTCCTCCTCTTCCTCCTCCTCTTCCTCCTCCTCCTCCTCCTCCTCCTCTTCCTCCTCCTCCTCCCCCTCCTCCTCCTCCTCCTCCTCCTCCTCCTCTCGCCTCCTCCTCGTCCGCCTCCTCCTCCTCCTCGTCCTCCTCCTCCTCTCTCCTCGTTCTCCTCCTCCTCCTCTCCTCATCCATCCTCTTCCTCCTCCGCCTCCTCCGCCCCCTCCTCCTCCTCCTCCTCCTCCTCCTCTTCCTCCGCCGCCTCCTCCGCCCCCTCCTCTCCTCCTCCTGCCTCTCCTCCTCCTCCTCCTCCTCCCCTCCTCCTCTCCTCCTCCTCCTCCCCTCCTCCTCTCCTCCTCCTCTCCTCCTCCTCCCCCTCCTCTCTCGTCCTCCTCCTCCTCCTCCGCCTCCTCCTCCTCCTCCTCCCCCTCCTTCTCCCATCCATCCCTCTTCCTTATAGATACCTCCACTGTGTCGCACCGCCAGACGTGTCGTTAGGACGGGCAGGGCGTTTGACCTGAGGCTTCCTCACAAGGTACAATATCAAAGATGAGATTTCACAACAGTTACCCAGATGAAACACATATAGTTTTCAAAATGAGTCTCTCGCGTTGGCGCCGCACACACTCCGTTGAAACAAACCCCAAAAGTTCCTGGATAGAGCACAAGTGGCTTTGGGAATGGGGTTCTCGCCTTGGCGCCGCGCACATTCGTCTTCGCAATGCTCAACGGTTCTACGTATGGAGGGCAGCTTACTTCTACATGGAAGTTGCGAAGTTGTGCAACGTCTACACGGACGGAAGGCACATCCTTTTTCAAAACGGATCTCTCGCGAGGAACTTGCTTAAAATGTATGGCCATGCCCCGTTGCATATCGTGTAGATGGATCCAGTGCAATGCGGAGTCTCGCCTGATCGGCAGGCCCACGCGGCGCTCGTCTGTTAAAAGAGGTGTGTTTCTTACCATAAAACGAAGACTTTGTCGAGTCCTATGAAGCAGTCTTTAGATGGGACCGTGTATTACGGCATCGTCGATGAATCCTGGATGCACTCTGGTCTTCCTTCTCCGATTCCTCTTCCTATCCGTCTCCTCTTCTTCCTCATCTCAATCACCAGCGCCACCACCATCACCATCGTCGCGGTTATCGTCAGCATAATCGTCCTTACTTTCTACGTCCTCCTCCTCCTCCTCCTCCTCCTCCTCCTCCTCCTCCTCATCATCATCATCATCATCATCATCATCATCATCATCATCATCATCAATCATCAATCATCAATCATTAATCATCATCATTCATCATCATCATCATCATCATCATTCCATCATCATCATCATCATCATCATCTCATCATCACATCATCATCACATCATCATCATCATCATCATCATCATCATCATCATCATCATCATCATCATCATCATCATCAGCAGCAGCACATCAGCATCATCATCATCATCTCATCATCATCATCATCATCATCGTCTATCATCCATCATCAGCATCATCATCATCATCATCATCATCATCATCATCATCATCATCATCATCATCATCATCATCATCATCATATCATCATCATCATCATCAGCTCATCATCATCTATCATCATCATCATCATCATCATCAGCGTCATCATCTCATCATCATCAGCAGCAGCATCTCTCAGCACACATCAGCATCACCATCAGCATCAATCATCATCATCATCAGCACAGCAGCATCATCAGCATCATCCATCATCCATCAGCATCATCGCCCAATCATCATCATCAGCATCAGCATCATCATCAGCAGCAGAGCTCATCATCAGCATCATCATCATCATCTCAGCATCAGGCATCAGCATCAGCATCAAAAAAAAAAAAATCAAAAGCCAATCATCATCATCATCATCATCATCAAGCAGCAGCAGCATCATCATCATCGTCATAATCTCTCCTCCAATCCTCCTCCTCCTCCTCCTCCTTCCTCCTCCTCTCCACCTCCACCTCCTCACCTCCACCTCCATCTCCACCTCTCCCCTCCACCTCCACCTCCTCCTCCTCGCCTCCTCCTCCTCCTCTTCCTCCTTTCTCCTCCTCCTCCTCCTCCTCCTTCCTCCTCTGCGTCCCATCCTCCTCCTCCTCCTCCTCTCCTCCTCCTCCACCTCACCTCCACCTCCATCTCCCTTCCACCTCCACCTCCACCTCCTCCTCCTCCTCCACCTCCTCCTCCCTCCTCCTCTTCTCCTTCTCCTCCTCCTCCTCCTCCTCCTCCCCTCCTCCTCCTGCGTCATCCTCCTCCTCCTCCTCCTCCTCCTCCTCCTCCTCCTCCTCCTCCTCCTCCTCCTCCTCCTCATCCTCCTCCTCCTTATTCCTTCTACTCATTCGGCGACCCCGTCGGCCGCCGTCCCCGCCGCCCTGGGAGCGTCCGCCGCATCTGGGGGCCCCACGGCCTCAGCAATCTCCGACGCCTCTGTGACCTCCGCCGCCTCTTCCGCCTCCGAGGGCCCTGCGGCATCCGCAGCCACCGCCGGCGCCTCTGCGGCTGCGACCACCGCTTCGGCCGCCCGCAAAGGTGCAATCGCTCCCGTGGCACACAAAGTTGCCTCTGCCGCGTGCGCCGCCGCCTCCGCGGCCGCGAAGGCGCTGGCCGCGGGCGCCGGCGCGGGGGCCTCCGCCGCGGCGCTGGGCGCGCCGCTTGGCGCGGCAGCCTCCGCGCTGGCTTGGCGGGGTGCCTCGACCGGGCGCGCGGGCCACGCAACCGCTGGCGCCTCCGCCGCGGGCGCCAGCTCCAGCGCTTCAACGCCGGCGGGTGTACCGCCTGGCGCGGGGGCTCCGCTGGCCCAGTGGGCTGGCTCTGGCGCGCACACCGGCTCTGGTGCCTCTGCGTCGTCGGGCACGCGGCCGGGCACGGCGGCTCCGCTGGCCTGGCGGGGCGGAGAGGGCGATTCCTCCCAGACCTGCACCGAACTGGGCAGAGCAAGGCAGAGGCGCGCGAACAATTTTCGATGCCCGCGGGCCGCTCTCGGACCCCGACGCCGTTAAAAGACAGTCCAGCGGAAACGGGTGGGGGCACTGACGCCCGTGTTGGGAAGATCGTGGCATCGGAGCATTGGGTCGTCTCATCCAACTGAGTCAGGCAGCTTCCTGACCTCCAGGAGGAGAGAGAGAGAGAGAGAAGAATGGGCGAGGGAGGAGGAGGAGGCAGAGGAGGCGGAGGAGGAAGAGGAGGAGGAGGAACGAGGGTGACACTCCTAGCGAAAGAACAAGAGGGAACAGGTGTTCGAGGCCCTCGGGTTTGCGATGTTGGGGGATTGACGCATCGGGGGGCTCTTGGAGGTCGGGAGCAGGGGCAACGATCCCCAAACGCCCCCCTTGGACTGCACTGGAGTCTGGCTCCGCCTGTCTCGCTCTCATTCCTTCTTCCTTCTCATCTTCCTCATCATACTGCTCGTTCTCCTCCTACTCCTCCTACTCCTCATTCCTTCCCCCCCTCCTCCTCCTCCTCCTCCTCCTCCTCCTCCTCCTCCTCCTCCTCCTCCTCCTCCTCCTCCTCCTCCTCCTCCTCCTCCTCCTCCTCCTCCTTCGCTCCTCCCCTCCTCCTCCTCCTCCCTCCTCCTCCTCCTCCTCCTCCTCCTCCTCCTCCTCCTCCTCCTCCTCCTCCTCCTCCCTCCTCCTCCTCCTCCTCCTCCCCCTCCTCCTCCTCCCTCCTCCTCCTCCTCCTTCCTCCTCCTCCTCCTCCTCCTCCTACCTCCTCACTCCTCCCTCCTCCTCCTCCTCCTTCCGCCTCTCCTCCTCCTCCTCCTCCTCCTCCTCCTCCTCCTCCTCCCTCCTCCTCCCTCCTCCCTCCTCCCTCCTCCCTCCTCCCTCCTCCCCTCCTCCCTCCTCCCCTCCCTCCTCCTCCTCCTCCTCCCTCCTCCCTCTCCTCCTCCCTCCTCCCTCCTCCCTCCTCCCGCCTCCCTCCTCCCTCCGCCCTCCTCCCTCCCCCTCCTCCCTCCTCCTCCTTCCTCCTTCCTCCTTTCCCTCCTCCCTCCTTCCTCTTCCTCCTTCCTCCTTCCCCTCCTTCTCCTTCCTCCTTCTCCTTCCCCTCCTTTCCTCCTTCCTCCTTTCCTCCTCCTCCTCCTCCTCCTCCTCCTCCTCCTCCTCCTCCTCCTCCCCTCCTCCTCCTCCTCCTCCTCCGCCCTCCGCCTCCGCCTCCGCCTCCGCCTCCCCCTCCCCCTCCTGATCCCATTCCCTATCCCTGTCCCTATCCTGCCCTGTCCCTGTCCCTGATGTCCCTGTCCCTGTCCCTGTCCCTGTCCCCGTCCCCGTCCCCGTCCCTGTCCCTGTCCCTATCCCCGTACATGTCCCTGTCCCTGTCCCTGTCCCTGTCCCTATCCCTATCCCTGTCCCGATCACTATCCCTATCCCTATCTATATCCACATCCTTATCCCTCAATATATCTCTATCCCGATCCCTATCGCTACCCCTATCCCGATCCCTATCCCTACCCCCACACCTATCCCTATCCCTATCCCTATCCCTATCCCTATCCCTATCCCTATCCCTTGTCCCTGTCCCTACCCCTATCCCTATCCCTCTCCTCCTCCTCCGTCTCCTTCTTCTCCTCCTCCTCCTCCTCCTCCTCCTCCTCCTCCGCTCCTCCTCCTCACTCGCTCTCCTCCTCCTCCCTCCTCTCTCTCCTCCTCCTCCTCCTCCTCCTCCTCCTCCCCTCCTCCTCCTCTTCCTCATCATCATCATCATCATCATCATCTTCATCATCATCATCATCATCAGCCTCATCATCATCATCATCATCATCATCATCACACATCATCATCATCATCATCATCATCAGCATCATCATCATCATTCATCAGCATCAGCATTACAATCATCATCATCATCAATCATCATCATCATCCATCGCAGCATCAGCAAGCCTCATCATCATCATCATCATCATCAGCATCATCATCATCATCATCATCATCATCATCATCATCATCATCATCATCATCACATCATCATCTCATCATCATCATCAGCATCAGCATCAGCATCATCATCATCATCATCATCATCATCATCATCATCATCATCATCATCGCCATCATCACCACCACCAGCCATCATCTCGTTCATCATCATTCAGCATCATCATCGTCATCGTGTCCATCTCATTCCAATACGCCCCTCTCATCATCATCATCATCATCATCATCATCATCATCATCATCATCATCATCATCATCATCATCATCAGCATCAGCATCATCATCATCATCATCATCATCATCATCATCATCATCATGAGCATCAGCATCAGCATCATCATCAGCAGCAGCAGCATCGTCATCATCATCCATTCCTTTTCCTTATAAATGACCTCTCCCTGACGCACCCCGAAGCAAGTTCTTAGGGCGGGCCAGGCGTTTAGGCCTCTGAAGCTTAAAAGCGGCAACAGTTTCACAAATGAAGGTCGGGTGGTTTTCAACATGTGATTCTCGCATTAGCGCCGCGTGCATTCGCTTGCAAGACTTGCAAGAATGTCACGGAGTGAGGGTGGGTCATTTTCAACATGTGGCTATCGCCTTCGCGCCGCGCACAGTTTTAAAATTTGCACGAGCTTCACGGGTTGAGGGCGGATCGTTTTCAAAATGTGGCCCTCGCCTTAGCACCGCGCACATTGGTTTTACACATGTACAAGCGCTTCACGGATTGAGGGCGGGTGGTTTTCAAAATGTGGCTCTCGCCTTAGCGCCGCGCACATACGTTCAAAACAATGTGCGAGAGCTTCACGGAATGAGGGCGGGTGGTTTTCAAAATGTGGCTCTCGCCTTGGCGGCGCGCACATTCGCTGGGAAAAAATGCAAGAACTACACGGATTGAGGGCGGTTCTTTTTCAACATGTGGCTCCCGCCTTAGCGCCGCGCACAATCGTTGTAAATATCCGAAGGGGTTCACGGATCCCCATGGTCTACGATCCAGAAATTGCGGCTTGGAAGGATTCAATCTTATGCGGGACACTTATGTTGGTTCGCGGTGCTGAAGTCCCAAAAATGGTGCTCTGGCACGATTCCAGATCGTCAAGACGCAGCAGTCAAGTCGATCCGTGGCGTTGAGATCCCGTGAACAATGTGTTGGCATGCTTTAAGGTCTTCAAACGGTTGTCTTCCAACGAGGCGTTCCATCAATGGAAATGAACCGTTCGTTGATGGTTCTTGGGTTTACACTAGTCCTCCTCTTCCTCCTCCTCCACCTCCTCCTCCTCCTCCACCTCCCCTATCCTACTTTCCCTTTCCGTATAGATAACTTCTCCCTGTGGCACCCGGAGGCCAGTTTTAGGGCAGGCCGAACTTTTCGCCTGGAGCTTCCTCGCCATGTATGGCTCTGAAGCTTAAAAGTTGACAACAATTCTCCGATGGGGGTCGGGTTGTTTCCAAAATGTGTCTCTTGCCTTAGCGCCACGCCTACTCGATTTGAATACTTGCATGAATATTACGGATTGAAAGCGACTGGTTTTCAAAATGTGGCTCTCGCCTTGGCGCCGCGTGCATTCGCCTTAAAAATTGCACGAGTATCACGAATTTAAGGTGGTTCCTTTTCAAAATGTGGCTCTCGCTTTGGCGCCGCGTGCATTCATTTTAAAATTTGCACGAGCTTCACGGGTTGAGGGCGGGTCGTTTTCAAAATGTGGCTCTCGCCTTAGCACCGCGCACATTGGTTTTACACATTTACAAGAGCTTCACTGATTGATGGCGGGTCGTTTTCAAAATAACGCTCTCGCCTTAGCGCCGCGCACATACGTTCAAAACAATGTGCGAGACCTTCACGGATTGAGGGCGGGTGGTTTTCAAAATGTGGCTCTCGCCTCAGTGCCGCGCACATACGTTCAAAACAATGTGCAAGAGCTTCACGAATTGAGGGCGGGTGGTTTTCAAAATGTGGCTCTCGCCTTAGCGCCGCGCCCATTCGCTTGAAAAATATGCAAGCGCTTCACGCATTCCTTTTCAAAATGTGGCTCTCGCCTTCGCGCCGCGCACATTCGTTTCCAAAATTCGCAAGAGTTTCACCGATTACCATGTTCAACCCACCAGATATGGTGTCTACTAGGATTCAGGATGATGCGGGTGCAAGAGTTATGTTGATTCGCGGTGTTGAAGTCCCAAAAATAGCCCTCTGGCACGATCTCGGATCGTCAAGACGCAGCAGTCAGGTTGATACGTGGCGTTGAAGTCCCAAGAACAATGTTTCGGAATGATTCAGGATCTTCCAACGAGGCATTTCCCTCGATGAAAATGAACCGTTGTGGGGGCCTATGAAGAGGGAGGGAGGGTTAATTCCAACATCGTTGATGACTCTTGATTTTACACTGGTCCTCCTCCTCCTCCTCCGTTTCTCCTCCTCCTCCTCTTCATCATCCTCTTCATCATCATCATCATCATCATCATCATCAGCATCATCATCATCATCATCATCATCATCATCATCATCATCATCATCATCATCATCATCATCATCATCATCATCGTCCTCATCATCATCATCATCATCATCATCATCATCATCATCATCATCATCATCATCATCATCATCATCATCGTCCTCCTCCTCCTCCTCCTCCTTTTCCTCCTCCTCCTCCCCCTCCTCCTCCTCACCGTGCTCTTCTTCTTCTTCCTCCTCCTCCTCCTCCTCCCGCCGTCGGCGGCGCGCCCCCTGCCGGAAGAGGCAGAGGAGGCGGGCCGTCTCAGAAGGCGGCGGGGCTTCTCGGGAAGCCCGTGCCGCCTTCCGAGAAAACCTTCCGAGCCTCCTCCTGTCAGGGGGAACGAGAGGGGGGAGACAGCAAAGGGCAGGGTAGCGAAGCGGCTCACGTAGCTGATTTTCCCAGCGCCTCCCGGCGCCGGGAGGCGCCCGTGTATCGAGGAACGGGCCCGGCGGCAGGGCCGAAACCAGCTGCAGGCAGCAGAGTTCGTAACCCCCCCTTTCCCTATCCCCCCCATTTCGCTCGGCCCGATCGTAAGGTACGCTGCGTCCGCGCTCCCAGGGCCACGATCCCTCGTAAATTACGATGCGTCCGCTCTCCCTGAGCCACGGTCCCTCGCAAACTGCGCTGCGTCCACGCTCGCAGGGCTGCGCTCCCTCGTGAACTGCGCTGCGTCCACGCTCCCAGGGCCAGGTTTCTCAGTAAATTACGCAGTGCTCAAGCTCCCAGAACCACCTGGGCATCCTGGGGCGCCCACGCCGCTCGAGTTCTGCAAAACAAGCGTTTCGCTCGAACCCCCTCAAGACCTGGGCACGTGAAAACAAGCATTTCACCTGAGACATCATCTGAATTCTGGTCCCCAGGAGAAGAACGATCTAGAGCACAGAACAAGCGTTTAGCTCGAGAGATCCTCAACAAATTATGCAAAACAAGCGTTGCGTTCAAGACATCCGCAACAGACGAAAATCTGCACCCTGTGTTTTATCGATCGGCATTTCAAAAACCAGCGTTTCGCTCAGCACGTCCTCAAATGTTCATCCGCCGGCCCGTCTCGACCTCGTTATTCATCGCAAATAATTCCGCCGGCCCGTCTCAAGTCGTCCCAGGGGATGAAACCTCTAAAACAGAACCCTGGGCCGAAGCCCTTTCCGGAACCTCTGAAAGAGAACCCTGGGCCGGCGCCCTTTCCGGGAAAAGAAACCCCTGGGCCGGCGCCCTTTCCAGGAATATCGTAGCATCACCCGAACTCTGCCAGTGCCAGCGTGCCTACTGGCAGCCGTCGCCAGGCATGCAGCGTCATCAGGCCGAACGAATGGCACAGGGAGAGCCGGGTGACGTCGGCAGTGGCGGCAGCCAGGGCCCGCTCCAACGCAAGCCGCCACTGCGCGTACAGCTCCGAGCCGCTGCGGCCACCAGCGACGCACCGCGAGGCTGCCATGTCGGCCGAATGGCGGAGGTTCGCCTGGCTGGCAGCGCCGAGCCGGCCGTAGATCTCGAAAGAGATGGCCGAGACCCTGCTGACGTACCGCGTTAGCTTCTCGAGCTCCCCGTCGGCCGCCGCCACCGAAAGCCAGGATGCTGCCGCGCAGCCGCCTTAGCGTTGCAAACGCTGTGCGGGCTGCGCACCGTCACGTCGAAGAAAATTGAAACGCGGCCTCCTGGAATAGGCATGACAACGTCCAGGATCGCCTCGGTAACGACACATTATTGATCTTGTTGACAATGACGATGACAGTGATGAACATGATGGTGATGATGATGCCGCTGATGGTGATGTTCATACTGGTGTTGATGCTGATGTTGATGATGGCGGTGTTGATGATGGTGATGATAATGATGATGATGCTGATGATGATGATGATGATGATGATGATGATGATGATGATGATGATGATGATGATGATGATGATGATGATGATGAGTGATGGTGGTGACCATGATGCTGCTGATGATGATGATGGTGATGATGATGCAGATGATGATGACGATGCTGATGATGATGATGCTGATGATGATGCTGATGATGATGCTGATGCTGGTGATGGTGATGGTGCTGACAACAAGAATGACCATGGTGGTGGTGATGGTGTGAAGGTGATGATGGTGACGGTGTTGATGATGATGGTGATGATGATGCTGACGATGACGATGTTGATAGTGATGACTGTGATGATAAGAAGGAGGATGATTGTGGTGATGATGAGGACGAATATTATGATGATGGTGGTGGTGATGGTGATGATGATGGTGGTATTGCTGATAATGGTAATGATGGCGGCGGGGTTGTGATGCGGCGGGTGATGATGATGATGATGTTAGAGATGATGGTGATGATGGTGGTGATGACGATGTTGCTAATTATTATGACGACGATGCTGACGACGACGATGATGGTGATGATGGTGATGATGATGATAATGATGGTCATGATGATGGTGACGATGAGGGTACTGATGCTTTGAATATGTCGCGGGCGGCTGGTCTGGAGGTGGGCCTGGACATCACAACGGATGGCCCAGTATACTTTATCTGGCACTTGAGCCACCACTCCCCTCTTGATGAAAGGATGTGGCCGTCAACTCCCTTGAGGACAAGATTCAGCAGTCAACTATCTCTTGACGTCCTCCTTCCGTGTTGACGAGCCCCCATTGATGGCCTCCTTCCGAGTTGACGAACCCCCTTGACGGCCTCCTTCCGAGTTGAAGAACACCCATGACGGGCCCCTATTGGCGGCCTCCCTCTGCGATGATCAACCCCCTTGACGGCCTCCCTCCGAGTTGACGATGGCCGTTGACGGCCCCCCTTGCCGCAACCTCCGTCTCGACGAACGACATCTCGGGGCCGAGCGGGTGGTTGACGACGGTTTCGGTCTTAACAAACTAAGTATCGGAGCCGAGTTGGTGGCTCCTCTCGTCTTGACGAAAGAAGTGTTGGAGCTAAATTGGCGATTGCTGTCGTCTTAGCGAACGGAAATTGGGACCGAGTTTGACGAATGAAGCGCCCAGGCCGAATTGACGACCGCTGTGGGCGCTTCTCCAGACATGCGCCGTCTCAGGCACTGGGCTAGACTCAACTGATGCTGATGGTGGTGAAGGTGGTGATGCTTATGATGCTGATGCTGATTATCCTATTGATGCGTCCGACGTTGATGATGATAACGATGACGATGACGAAGACGAAGACGAAGATGATGGCGATAAAGATGAATATGACGATGACGACGATGATGATGCAGGTGGCGGCGGTGATTATGGCCTTCTTTGCAACCCCTCAACCATGAGTCATGAAATGCATCTGGACTCCTGAATATCACCCGTCGGCTGCACAGAGCTCATACGTGGCCGCCCGGGTGATATCGTCAAGTGGGTGGTGCCTAGCTTTAAATGTGCACTCGATCACTCCGCAAATGTGGTTGACAAGCATGTCAACCCACGGTCGTTTGCGATCTTAGATGGGAGACACATCTGGCCAGTACCGCCGATTCGGGCACGGCGAGATAATCGCGCCAGCACCGCGGGACATAGCCGCAGCCGTCGAACGGTCGCTGTAGCTTCCAAGGTGTCGGTGTGGTCCAGAGACAGGGCATCTGTACGGCAGCTGCTGTTCGATAATGTGGCGGTTCACGGACATTGCTCGGGTGGCCTCCGTGTCGGCGAGCCCTCAGCCCTTCCTGAACTTTCGCCGTCGCGAGGTGGCCCCGGGGCTCCGCTGACAGGAAGCATGCCTCGGCCCCTGTTGGTGAAGCTGGTCCTGCAGATACGCCGCCAAGACCGTGGCAAAGCCACAGGAGGTGCCTCGGGAGCGGCCGACATGCCACGATACCAGCGTGTGGTTGTCGCCCCAGAGGTCGAGCAAATGCTGCTGCTGATGATGCTGATAGATGATGCTGATGGTGGCGATCATCATCAGATAGTCAGTGACATCGCATCGCCATCGTCACGGTCACCGTCATCGTCGCCCCTCCCCTCCCTGCACCTGGTCAGCAACGGAAGAAGCAGAGCGGGGGGGGGGCGGGCGGGCGGGCGGGCGGCGCCGGCAGCGCCGAAAACAAGACGGGGGAGGGCAGGCGCGAAGACGGCGCGGGCGGCGCCTTGCACCCCACCCCACCCCCAAGGCTCGCCTCCGCGGAGCGCGCGGCGCCGCCGCAGCGGCGCAGCTCCTGACGCGCGCGCAGGCGAGCGTGCGAGCTCGTTGTCGCCGGCGCCGTCGCCGTCGCCGCCGTCCGCTGCCAGTCGGCCGCCGTTGTGTCGCGAGTGGGTCAACGACGTGCTGTTAACCGAGCCTTCAGAGTGGGCCCTTTCTGGTTCTGTGCAATTTAGATTTGGCATCCATTTCAGCTGTGATGCAATTCGAAAGCTCCACTGGGCCCGCTCACCCGAGTCGGTATTCCGTTCGCACCGATGCCTCCCTCCCCTCGTGAGTGACCGTGGACTGGGCGCTGGTGATACCAAAGTTGTGGACGTCAAGAAGGCGGGTCTCCGTGTCGCGGCACTGGCGGTGGCACGCGAGGACGAAGAACAAGAGGTAAGTGGACCTCTTCGGTCGAGTAAGGCCACGGCTTGCAACAGGCCGTGATCACGCCCCCAGAGAGCTCGTTAATGGTCGGCGAGTACTCAAAATATGGCTCGGGCGTCCGAACCAGTGATGTGGACCTGGATCGCGCGCCTATCACCAGGTATATCATGGACACTGTTACTGCGGCAAGCCGTACTGTACATTCTTCTGCTGCCAGCTCTGCCTCCGCTTCTGCTTCGACACCTGGCTAGCCTCTGCAAAATGTTGCCCTACCCAGCTTGTATGCAAGGGTCCGGTGTGTGTGTGTGTTGTCTAAGGCAAGGTGCGAGGTCCTCTAAATCTGGAATCGGCGGCTGGTGGCCCGTGGTCCGTAGTCTCTCCCGTATGGTTTTCCGTATGGTTTTCCGCATTGGTTCCCGTACGGCCTCCCGCACTGTCTCCCATATGGGCCCCCGTATGGTCGCCCGTATTGTCTACCACATGCTATCCCGCATGGTCTCCCAGATGGTCTCCCGCATGCTCTCGCGTATAGTCTTCAATATGGTCTCCCATATGGTCTCACGCAGGCTCTCCCGGACAGCCTCCCGCACGTACAGTACAGTAGTATCCTAGACTGGCGTGTTGTGTATGCTGTTCAGGGTTGTCTGCCGACGTCTTCGGAGAGCCCGCCTGACACCCGGAATGTACAGACGCTCGCGCGTGCACATTCACAAAGTCAACCAGCTGGTAGGGAAGCTCAATGTCATCGATGTCATATGTCTCTGCGAAGTGCACGGGAATGAATAATGCGTACGAAAAGCATGAGGAGGGAGGAGGAGGAGGAGGAGGCCCTTGCCCCAGGCAGCCTCGACCTCCTTGCGCAGAACGGCGATCACGCCTGGCGTCGGCCGCTACCGTCTCCATCCCCCAGCGCCCCTCACCCCTGAAGGAAAAAGCCTCGTCCTCCTGTTTTCTTCTCCCTATCCTCGTTGTCATCCTCTTCCTCCCCATTCCTATACCGATTGTTCCTTCTGTTCCTCCCTCCTTCCTCTGTGTCCATCCTTGCTCTTCGTACTCACATTGGACTCCTTAAGCATTATTCATCCTACTCCTTCCTCCCCCTCTCGCCCCCCTTCCCACCTCCTGTTCCTCTTTTTTCTCATGCTCATATCCTCTCCCCCTGATCCTTCTCCTCCTCCTCGTCCTCCTCCTCCTCCTCCTTCCTCCTCCTTTCTCCTCCTCATCCTTTTCCTCCTCCTCCTCCTTCGCCTCTGCATTTTCCTGCTCCTGCTGATGACATTCCGCCTCCCTCGCCTTGTGATCCTCTTCCACCTCTTCCCCCTTCTCTTCCCTCCGCACTCCACTCTTCCTACGTCTCCTTCCACCTGCTACCTCCTCGTCATCCTCCTCCTCCTCCTCCTCCTCCTCCTCTTCCCCCTCCTCCTTGGAAGACGATTACTTCTTCCGCGACGACTTCTCCCGGAAGAATTTCTTCCGGAAGAAGTCGTCCAGAAGAAGTCGTCCAGAAGAAGTCGTCCAGAAGAAGTCGTCGGAAAAGAATCGTCGAGACAAAGGTTTTTCCGAGAGATCGGCGCGGCGGAAACGGAGGAGGATGGATAAGGAGGACGATAACAAATAATGTTTTCGGAAGAAAGCGTTCGGAAGAAGTGGTTCGGAAGAAGTGGTCCGGAAGAACGCGTCCGGAAGAAGTCGTCTCGGAAGAAATACTCCGGAAGAAGTAGTCCGGAAGAAGCCGTCTGGAAGAAGTCGTCCGGAAGAAGTCGTTCGGAAAAAGTCGTCCGGCAGAAGTCGTCCCGAAGAAATCGTCCAGAAGAAGTCCTCCGAAAGAAGTCGTTCGGAAGAAGTTTTCGGAAGAAGTCGTCCGGAAGGAGCCGACTGGAAGAACTCGACCGAAAAAGTAGTTCGCATGGCGCCATTGCGTTCATTTCGGCGCACGTCTCTCACGCTTCGTGGCCCAATTTGGAGCTCCACCGAAGGCCTTCGTGGCAGGGTTCGAATGGCGCTACCGCGCCTATTCCGGCACACCCTTCACATGTTCGTGCCCTCATACGGAGCTCTTCCAAAAGCCCCAGTGGCAAGGTTCACATGGCGCCACCGCGCTGGTTTCGGTACACCCCTCACACTGTTCGAGGCTCCATAGGGAACTCCACCGAAGGCCACAGTGGCAGGGTTCGCATGTGCCTGACCACACCCATGTCGGCACACCTCTCACACGTTTCGTGGCCCCATGGCGGGCTCCACGCAAGACCCCACTAAGTATCGGGGATGGACAGACCTCCCTTTAGTAAAACGTGGTTTAGTGAAAACGACCTAAAGCCCAAACCTGGCGGGCGCAAGCCTGGAAAATAACGGCCGCGGCGCCCTCTCGAGAACCGAAAACGGACAATTCACTAATCGACGTGTCACTGTTGGGGGTTCTGTCCGCCCCCGACACTAGTGAAGTTCGCATGGCGCCACCGCACCCGTGTCGGCACACCCATCACACGTTCCGTGGCCCCGTTGGGAGCTCCAACGAAGGCCCCTGTGGCAGGGTTCGCGTGGCGCCACCGCACTCATGTTGGCACACCTCGCGCACGTTTCGAGGCCCCGCAGGGAGCTCCGCCGAAGGGTGCAGTGGAGGAGGACGGGAGGCGCGGGGAGGAGAGGGGCAACGGCGCGGAAACGGGCAGCGCATCCCTCGTGCGTTGGCGGGACTGGGTTTAATAACCGGAACTGCAGCTACACGACGAAAAACCGAAGGACGACGATTTTTTCCGCCAAGGCTTCTTCTGCGACGACTTCCTCCGGAAAAACTCCCTTCCGGATGAAGTCACCCGGAAGAAGTGGTCCGGAAGAAGTCGTCGCAGAAGATGGCGTCTTCGGAAGAAGTGGCCCAGAAGAAGCCGTCTCGAAGTCACCCGAAAGAAGTCGGCGACGCGGAGACATCGGCGCGGAGGAGATGGGGGAGGATGAGGAGGAGGAGGAGGACGACGACGACGACGACGCAAGCGAGGAGGACAAGGAGGACGCGGACGGGGAGGAGGAGAATGTAGGGGAGGCAGATGAAAGGATGGAGTAATAGGAGGAGGAGGAAAAATTATAGAAGGACGAGGGTGAGGAGGAGGAGGAGGAGGAAAACGTTGTCGAGAAAGACGCTCGAAGGTAGCTCAGAAATCGTCACCCAAAACACATTGTTCGGAAAAAATGATTCGGAAGAATTCGCCCTGAAGAAGTCGCCCAGGAGAAGGCGCCCAGAAGGAGCGGCCTGGAAGAAGTGGCCCAAAAGAAGTCGCCCAGAAGAAGTCGCCTCGGAAGAAGTTGCCCAGAAAAAAACGCCTGGAAGGAATCGCCCGAAGGAAATCGCCCAGAAACAATCGCCCGAAGAAGTCGCTCGGTAGAAATCGCCAGGAAGAAGTCGCTCGGGAGAAATCGTCGATCGGCTGAAATTGTTCCAGAAAAAGCAGTTTCTGGAAGAAATCAGTCGGGGGGGCCCGCCGGAAGAAATCGCCCGGAAAAGGCACCGTCGGACGAACGAGGCCAAGGGCGCTGCCCGGACGAAGCTGCCTGGAAGAAGTCGCCGGAAGAAGTGGCATCGGAAGAACTTGTTATGATGAAGTCGCCTTCTCGGGTTCTTCGGGGTCGCCCTGGTTTCCGGGGCCGTTCGCAAGCGGATCGGGATGAAGCAATTATCTTCGGAAAAGGGCCCAGACCTCTGGTGGTTTACTCAACGCGCATTCTGGAGAGGTTTGGCTGGCGATTCTGGAGGAGGAGGAGGACGACGAAGATGAGGAGGATCTGCCTGTGCCTAATGAAAGTTGCCCTTGTCGAGTGTCGTTTTGCTGCTGATGATGACGTGGAGGAGGAGGAGGAGGAGGAGGAGGAGGAGGAGGAGGAGGTCAGAGGAGGAACGGGTGCCGATGCCTCTGCCTGCTCCTCGCAGCCACCGCTGGCGTTGTCCCGAGATTGCTAGTCAGGACGCGCCCTGCGAGATGTCGACCGTGGGGCTGGGGTTTCTGCACTTTCTGCGTCTTCTCTAGAATGGAGGTTGGGGGGTGAGATCGCAGTGGGCCTGTCCCGCGCAGCCACGGCTGGAGTTGCCCCGAGATCTGCCGGTCGGGGCCCACCCTGCGAGAGGTCCGTGGGGCGGCGGTTTCGGCACCATTCTGCGCCTCCTCTGGATTCGGCGGCTGGGGAGGGGGGGGAAGTGAGAAGGGGCGGGCCTTCTCAGAAGGCTTGGAAGCTTCCTAGCCTTCTGGATAGTCTTCTAAGCGTCTCCCGAACACACGGAACACTTCTCAGAAGGCAGCAGCGCTTTGAGAAGTTCCGCCTCCTTCTGAGAAGGCCTTCTTCTTTTGATTTCCCCCCTCGATCTCCGCCGACTTGTGTCCTCTAGATCAGATTGGATTCGAGCCCGTCGTCGTCATGTCGCCCGTCGTCGTCATCGTCGTCCGCCGTCGTCGTTCTCGTCGTCGTCGTCGCCGTCTTCGTCCACGTTGGAACCCCGTGCCGAGTAGACTTTGGAGTTCGCCTCCGCGGCATTGCCACGTCGAATGCAATAAACTTATGCGGTTTGGCAACAACATGGCTCGTAACATTGAACTGTCTTTTGTTCGCCTAGTGAACAGAGTGGCGCTCCATGCGTTCCCGCCCCGCGGCGTTGCCACGTGGCGAATCGAATGGAATATTAATGTTTGACCCCCACCTGGCGAGTGCAGTGGGATTGTAAAATATACTCCGCCCGCGCGGCATTGCCACGTGATGAGGCGAGCGTGTTTTGACTGTTTGTTCGCTCCTCCTGTCGTTGCCACGTGGCGAGTTGGAGTGGGATAGGAGTTTTGTTTACATAGCAGGCCTTGCCACGTGGCGTTGCCATGTGGCGAGTAGAGAGGAATAGCACTTGTTGCCGGCCAGTTTCGTTGCCACGCGCCGCATAGAAAACAGGCTTTCTGCCTCGCCTCGCAGGCGCTGCCACGTGGTCAGCACAGCGGAGTACCATGTGTTCCCCCCTCGGAGCGCTGGCACGTGGCAGGGAAAATTGAGCAGTATTTGTTTCACCCGCCCCCAGTGTTGCCACGTGGCGAGTAGAGTTCAAAAATGCGTTCCGCCTCGCAGGCGTTGCCGCGTGGCGAGTCGTGGAGCGGCACTATTTGCGTTTCGCTCCCCAGTCGCTCCCACCTGGCAACTCGCGCAGAACAATATTTTGTAGTTCCGCGGGCGCTGCCACGTCACGAGGAGAGTGGAGTAGCACATGCGTTCGCCCCCCCCGGCGTTTGCCACGTGGCGAGTACGGTGCAATAGTTTCAACTTCCGCCCGCAGGCATTGCCGCGTGCCGAGTAGGAGGGCCGAGGAGGGAGCACGAGGAGGTGAGAGGAAGGAGGGAGGAGGCAGGAGGGAAAAGCAGGGAGAGGAGGCAAGAGGCAGGAGGAGGGGGGAGGAGGGAGGAGAGGAGGATAGGAGGCCTGGGAGGAAGAGCAAGTAGGGGGGAGGGGAGGTGTGAGGATCGGAAGGAGGACGAGGAGGACGGGAAGGAACGAGGAAGAGACGTGGAGGACGAACGATGTCATTGCCACCTGGCGAGTGGAGTGGGATAATACTTGTGTTTGCCTATCTGGCCTTACCACGTGGCGTTGCCATGTGGCGAGTAGAATGGAGTAGCATGAGTTCCTGGCCCGCTTCGTTGCCACGTGCTCACGCACTGCCACGTGGCGAGTACAGTGGAGCACCATTTGTTCCCCGGTTCCCCCCTCCGAGCGTTGCCACGTGAAAGGGAGAGTGGAACGCCGATGTATACGGGGGCCGAGGTGGTCCGCCAAGTTTCAGCTTCGGCCCCCAGGCGCGGGCTTGCCCAATCAAGGGCCCCGAGGCGAGCTACAAAGGAAAGAAGTTCATGCACCTGA